GCTGCCGGGGTCTCTCCGGGCTGGGGCGCTGTGGATCCTTCCGACCGCAGCCGGGGCGCCGCGTGGGCGCTTCTGTAATTTAGGGACAATGGACAACGCGGTACCTTTAAAACGTCAAATAGAGCCGAGCTAGGCGGAGCCCCGACGGTGAGAATAACTTCGATTTTGAATGAATTTCATAAAGACTCTGTCAGGCACAGCCAGCTAAGACCTTAAAGTAATTTCAGGCCTGGTGTTGAAGTTGTAGGTGAAACATAACCAAGCCCCGGGCGGGTGGCTCAGGAGCCTGGAGCACTGTCCTGTGCGCCCAAAGGCTGCAGCTTCGATTCCCGGTCAGGGCACCTGCCTGGGTTGCGGGTTCGACCCCCAACTGAGGTACGTACAGGAGGCAAACCAATCGATGTTTCCCTCTCTCTTTCCCTCCCCTTTCCTTTCTCTCTCTCAAAAAAAAACAACAAAGCCTTACAAAAAAACATTAAAAAAGAACAAATTTAAACATATATATATATATATACAAGGTGTCCCCCCAAAATGTATACACTTTGAATGATTATAAAGTCAGTGTTTATTAACATACAGTTCATTTGCAACATTTAAAAGAACCTACAGAAATGAGCGTGTGTATATATATTTTTGGTGAAAAAAATGTATCTATAATTACAGTTAGTCATTTGCCTGCTTCTCGCAGTCCTGCTGAGCCGCAGGCAGGGCCTGGCAGCCGCCCTGGTGGCTGGCGGAGGTTAGGACTTCAAAGGCCTGTGCCCCGGGCGGGAATATAAAGTCCTAGGATGTAAAATAGCCAACGTCAGAAGTTTCCAGAGTCACAGAGAGGAGCTTGGATTCCGGCCCCGTGCCTGAGGCGAGAATGCACTGGGCGGTGGAGAGCCGGGGACCTGCGTGGGGGGCCCGTGGGGGTGCCGGGGAAGAGGGGCCCCGGGAGTCTGTCTGTAATCACCGGGAACGTCAGCTGTCTCTGTCACCAACGTAACGATGGCTCCTAATTAATCACCAGGCCTCAAAAATAGAGCCCGTCAGGCAGATTTCATTTCTAATTAGTGACATCGACGGAAGTTTTCCGAGGGGTCAGGTCCCATCCCCCGCCAGGCCCGCCACCTGCCACGGGCACGACACTGGTGGCCTCTGTCTCAGCGGCGGCCTCCCGTCCCCTCCCTCCTCGCCCTGCCCTGCCCTGCCGGCAGTTCCGGTCGCTCAGGGCTAACAGAAGCACCCCAAAGTCCCGAGGAGGCCAGAACAGCGTTCACGGAGGAGGGGAGGCACCGGGGAGTGGAGCGTCTCCCAGCCGCCACTCCGCCCGCCCCGCCGCCCTTTCCAACTGTCCTGTGACGTCACACCGGCCGAGTCGTTAGCCCCGCTCGCCGCTGGCTCACACAGACCTTCTAGAAATTTTAAACGTACCCGTTACCTAACCTTGGGCCTGCTGATAGCCTAGGAAAGGCCTCCCTCAGTGTGGGGAGCCAGAGCCGGCCTCCTGTCTCCCACCCTTCTGGAAGCGCCGTGGACGCGAGACCGACGGGCTGGAGGATGGATCATTGTGAGACAAACAACGGAGTTTGCTCCCTCCTTCCCAGGGAGGGGGCCGTCTGGTCGAGGGAAATAAAACGCAGCGGAGCCAGCTGTCCCCTTCCTGCCGGCAGGCCGGGATGTTGCGGTCCCTGCCGCCCCGGCCCGCCTCCCGTCAGCCCGTCAGTCCCGTTTCTGCAGCCCCCAGGCTCCCGCCTCCCGCGGCAGCTTCTGAGAAAGAGCAAAGACCGTCTCCGCGAAAATCACCTCCTCCCTGCTCCTCCGCATCTTCACCGTGCGAGGCGGCCTCTACGCGGCATGCGACACGTGCCGTGGGACATGCCCCTGACGCATTCGATGCGTGGCTTCATCGGGGCATCGCAGAGCTGCCCCCGGGCCACCCACCCGGCTTCGGGGGCCCAACTAAAGCTAAAATTCTGCCCTCCCCTCCCTAGAGCTTCGGGCGCAGCAGTGATAAGTGGCCGGACGGTCGGAGTGGGTCCTTTACTTTCTTTCAGTGGAGCAGGAAATTAAGTGTGGCTTGGGCTCCGTGACAGGTGTTACTGAGACGTCATCGGGTGGTGGCGGCAATGAGCGGGGGAGCCTTGCCGTGCGTTTCTATAACTGCGACACATTTTAATGTTGTTTCAGGCACCTTTGCATTTAGTACTAACACCTAAGCAAGATTCCTCCCGCCTCCCGCCCTTTTCCCCATTTTTCCACTTTTGTAGGTTTTGGTTTCTCTAGATTTTGAAATCGTGGCCTCAGAGTTTCCATTGGAATCTCTACTCGAGATAATAAGGCGCGAGGTAGGGAGAGGGAGAGGGATTCTGGGCCACGTCGGCAGCTCGGGGCGAGATGAGATGCCCCAGATGTTAGCGCAGGGAGGAGAGGCGGGGCCGTGTGGCCGCAGGGCTTCGTGGCCACGTGGCATCAGGCTTCGTGGCCGCAGGGCCGCGTGGCCACGTGGAAGTACATGGTGAGCAAAGACGGCCCGGCGGCTCGAGCTCGCATCTGAACACGGTGGTGCCTTTATTGTTTTAGTCGGTATTTCTTCTACTCCAGCTGTGCAGGCCCACGTACACTATCAGGCTCTGATCACACAGTACTGAGGCAACGGCCTCCCGCAATGATGAATTTTATGTTTCAAACATCAACAACCCCGGCAAAGGTTTAGTCTGTTTTTAGCTCATTGTTTGCTTTCTTTTTTTTGCCTGAGTTAAAAATAAGCCTGAGCAACAGCTGTGTTGCTGGGGACGGAGCGAGTGCCGCCTCTAGGTGTCAGCTTGCATTATGTCTTTCGGGACCAATCGCTGTTCCTGGCATCGTTGTTGCGACCGGGCCTGTGTTCACCCGTCGCTCTCGGCACCAGCCAGCAATTGCTTTTCTGCCAGACATGCCAGCAAATAACGAACTTACTGCCCATAAAGGCGCTCACGGGTTTATCCGTCCAGCGGGCCGTCCCTGAGCGCCGCGGGGGCCCCGTTTCGTACCCGGCACTGGGGACAGGAGCACATCCGGGCATCAGGCACATGCCCTTGACGGGGAATCGAACCCGTGACCCTTTGGCGCACAGGCCAATGCTCTAAGCCAGGGTGGAAAGGGCTTATATTTTTTTTGTAATCATGGCTAAAGCAAAATGCTGTCTCTTCTGGGTATTGAGCTCACATAGAAAACCCAACGCAACAGGGACCGAGATTGTCTCAGTGCAACACTTTGTCCTGGTCCCATGCTTATGTTTTTAGTCTTATTTTCAAGGGCTAGGAAGCCACTTTTTAATGGAAAAATTAAACTCTGGATGGCAGAGAAGAACGCTGGTAGATTCCTAAACAGCTGTGGAGCTATTTCCTGCCCAGACTGTGACGGCTCCCAGGCGTTTCTTACTTGATAACGTAGGTGGCGAATGTTCGTTGTTGAGAGTGGGATTTTTCTTAATTCGATAACCTAGGTTATCCAGTGTGGATTGTTTGGCGTCTGATTTTTCTCATTTTGATAACCTAGATAGCCCGTGTTAAGCATCTGGGTGTCAGGTGTTAATTATTTGCTGCCCCTTAGTTGAGTATCATCTTTATTTTGATCTGCCGCCGTTCGACGTGTGTTAAGAACTTGCAGTCTTGGGTGGGGGGTATTTGCGTTTGTGTTACCTGCTTTCCGAGGCCATCTCCGTTCTCGNGAACTTGTAGTCTTGGGTGGGGGGTATTTGCGTTTGTGTTACCTGCTTTCCGAGGCCTCTCCGTTCTCTTTTATCTTGACTTGGAGTCGGTATGAGTTTCACGTACGGGTTCTAAAGAGTGTTTTGTGACCCGCGTGTAGGCAGAGGTAGAAATACTGCGCTTGCGGTGTGACTGTCTGTCTCTGTTTGCCCTGGGGAGGCCCGGTTGCCCCTGTATAATTAATAATTATAATTACTAATACATCACTATTATATTTCTAACTTACCATTAATTATCAGCATTACTTCCTCCGTCTCTCGAAGGCTCCCAGGTTGAACTGTAAATTATGTAATCACGATCATTTGAGAGGAACTAAAAATTGGGTCTCAGCAGCCAGGATACCCGATTAAATTCCTAGGTTCACTCAACCCTGAGCATCCCTTTAGCGATGTCTCCAGACATCACCTCCCACCGCCAGTCCCTGCGACGAGGCAGATGTGGTCTCCCTGGAGGGTGCTGTGGTTCCCCTGGGGGTGGGGAGCTACTCCGCGCAGACGGGTGACTCGCCTGTCGCCTGGGGCCTCTTGGGGCCTTGTGTGAGGAGCTGTGAAAGGACAGAACGACTCACGGTGGTGAGCGGTGGGCAGGGGTTGATTAAAATCGGCACGAGGCACGTGCTAAGCAAATGCTGGAATTTGGGAGCCTGGCGTGAACCGTGCGATGTACGTTAAGAGAGACAAGGGAGGACTTAGGGCGGGAACGTGCTTGGGTGTGAGTCTGGGGGGCCCGTAGGGTGGCTGTAATGAAGAGAGGGCCCTGCAATGATGAGCCTATGCTGGGGGACCTCGTTTATTGGGTGGAGAAACATTTACGTTCACCCAAAAGCTGGAAACATAATAAAATATCAGATTTTGGTTTTAGCACCGGCTGAGCACCAAAGGGCCGTGGGTTCGATTCCCAGTTAAGGGCACGTGCCTGGGTTGCAGGCTCGATCCCTGGCCCTGGACAGGGTGCGTGGAGCAGAAAGCAATCGATGTCTCTCTCTCTCTCCCTTCCACTCTCTTGGAAAATCAATGGAAAAAAATATCCTCAGCTGACGATTAACAATAACAATAATAATAATAAAATATCAGATTGCTTCTCAAGGTTCTGCCCTGATGCAGGAAAGACGGGGCGGAGAAAAGAGCCCAGCGTGGCTTCGTGGTTGAGAATGCGCCTCGCTGGCGGCTCCGCGCCGCGGGCCTTGATCCCCACGGGGGCGCCGGTTTGGCTCATCTTGCGTCTTCACTTCCCTCACCGCGTGTCTCTGTCTCGTTCCATCTCCAGGAGCTGGTGGGGAGTAACCCTCCGCAGAGGAACTGGAAAGGGATCGCCATCGCCCTGCTTGTGATCCTGGTCATCTGCTCCCTGATCGTCACCTCGGTCATCCTGCTGACGCCAGGTACCTCTGCTCGTCCTCGGAGCAGGGCCTAGTCTGTTCGTCCGACGGACCCGCAAGGCGCTTGAGGGAGACAGAGCGTCTTCACCGCGGCAGCTACTTTTATCGATTCCAGAGAGAGGAAGGGAGAGGGAGAGAGAAACGTCCGTGATGAGAGAGTCACGGACCGGCCGCCTCCTGCACGCCCCCTGCTGGGGGTGGAGCAGACAACATGGGCATGTGCCCGGCCGGGAATCGAACCCGGGACCTCCCGGTGCCCAGGGCGATGCTCGACCAACGGAGCCACGCCGGCCAGGGCTGCTGCTGCTGCATTTTTTATTTATTTATTTTTATTTATTGTTTTTAAACCTATCTCTACTGATTTCAGACAGAGGAGAGGAATACTTTTAAAGGCAGCGTTTGCACTTCAGCTGTGTTTTCAAACTTCTAGTAACACTTTGGGTTGAATTTCCTCTGTTCAAAGCTTCGTCCGGCTGAAAAGAAAGACACACGGGCTGAGCTAGCAGCCGTGGCGGG